TTTCAAATTACTTCCTTAACATGTCCTTATAGCAACGCTTCAAAAGTTTTTCGCGATGCCTTCAGAAGTCCTTGTAGATGAGCCACACTCCTGGAAAAATTCTACCCCGCTAAGCTCCTTAGATGCTGGGAATTAGGATGCTTGGCCACACCGAGTCCTTTTTAGGTGCTTGGACCTTTACCGGCCCGCCCAAACCCTAAACCCTTTGGACGTAGTGTCGGTTGGAGCCACCCTTCCCTATACAGCCTGTTTAGCTTCCGGCTTCCACTTAGAATCTGATCTCTTCCGCCTCAAACCCACAAGTCGCTAAAACCACCCAGTAGAGATTATAGTATCCCGTCTGAGCAGCGCTAGGAAGCAGCGCTAGGACCCAGACCGCCACACTTACCACGACTGGTACCGCCACGGGAACTGCCACGAACACAGTTGACGGCTCCCCTGCTGTCGTGCGACTTGTCTAGACAATGAGGGGGTGCATTGCAAACCTCCCGTATGTTTTTGAAAGGGTCCGTCATCTGTCTCGTATCATCTCTAGATATCCCGAGGGACCTTCCGAGAAGCGCCCATGTGAGAACAAGTTGAAGATGCTTCCCCGGCTTGCGCACATAGGGTCATGCAGGATTTGTCCATCAATTGTATGTCCAACGTGGTAGTTTCGCAGGCTACACCGGCCCTGCCCTGCGTCGTCTTTTCTGGAGAAAACTTTTCTTACGTCTTGACCACTCTACCACGGGAAGATGAAGCTTCACGTGTTGGCTTCTTTTTGAGCTGTGAAGACCCGTGCCCGGGCTTGTGCCCCTCACTGCGATCCTGAGACATGCCATTAGCGCATGGCATGTAGGTAATTCGTAGAGGCAACATCCTTCCTCAAACCCAAAATGGTCTTGTCCGTGCTGGATCAGAGTTCTAAAAGGGGCCTCAAATGTCGATAAGTACATTTTGAACTCCATGTCCTACCAAACTGCTCCAACCCCACATGAAGCCTTTCATCCCATGCGTGCCTCCCGAATCTCCTTGAAATCCTTGTGTCTCTTTGTGCTTGGAGGTTCATGCGAAGTTCGAAGAAGGGCTATCTTATCTTTGGAATCCCTACATATGTTACATAAGTATAGCCAAATCTCCCCAAACCCCGCTCCAATCAACTAGGCCCCTACATTGCATACTCCTCATAGAGCCCAAGTGAAAGGCCGACTTCTGAGCTGCCTCGCTTCGGAGGAGAGGAGGTTCCGGCTATAGATGTGTATCCCAGGATCCCAGAAGGCCCGTATGCAAGGAGCAAACCTTAAAGCCTTAAGACGTACCTATAGCCTCCGTATGGTTGGGCGAACATGTTCACAAGTTCAGGGCTTTATTACATTGGGCTTCTGTGCGCCTGTGCCCTTGTGGGGTAGTAGGGATCCAAGACTGGAGTCAGCAAAGCTTGAACCACGCATTGACGGAGCAACGTAGGGGAGACTGTTGAGGATCCATTTTGTGGATTCTGTTGAGGGTCGGGAGAAGCGCAGTCATGCTAGCAATGTGCTGGGCTTCTCGACTGCAATTCTTTGTCTTGTCGTTTCACTACCACCGCTCCCCTGTTCTCGCCGCCGCCAGTACCAGGTGCCGCCGCTGCTGCCCGCCACTCCGCCCCCAGCCCCTACCCCCACCGCTACCGCCAGTGCCGCCGCCGCCGCCACTGCTCTGCCACCGTGAAGACAAAGAGCACCCATCCAAAGAGGAAAATGATGACTGCCATGCAAGAGCATCATGCTATTTCCTTGAAAGTGTCGCACGTTGGATACTGAACTTTGAAACCTGTCTTCACCTAAGGCTGGAACGCCTGCCCCCTCACCCCAACCTTTAACTTCGAAGCCAAAAGTGGTTCGGCCAGGCCACAGATGGCGTGGCAGACCAAGGCGGCTGTGGGAGTTTTTTGGGTGGCAGAAGCGGACAACGTAGTAGCCCAGAGCAATTACCAGCATGATCCCCTTGCAGTCCTTGCCTTATGTATACAATCAAAGCTTGATAGACCCCATGAGATGAGTCCCAATCAAATAGCCCGTACATATACCCCTCTATCCATTATAGTATAGCCACAGCTTCCGTTTCTTTCCATTTGCTTCTCGCATTATTTAGCCCCTACGTTGAGGTTCTCGCTGCAAAGTTAGGCATCGAGGTCCGGATGTGGGGATTGCAGCTTGATTTACAAGCCCTAGTCAGGGAAAACCAGGCTGTAACGAGCAGCATCCTAGAGTCGCTTATACTTGTGAGTATGGCTTGAGTTGGTGTTTCGTAACAGACCTTACAAAACATTCGGTGGCTTTTGGATGTACTTTGAAGTTTTCCTACGTCAAAGTTAAACCCCACAAGGAACATGAAGTTAAGATTCTTAACGACGCCCCAACAAGGAACCATAAAGGAAGGAAATCTGCCTGTTTCAGCATTGAATGTCGGGAAATTGACTCATCACTTCTCCTTCTGGTGTTTCCGCTGTCATCTGGAACTCGTGGTCCCTTCATTGCTGACTTCAGTGTTTGTGGGCAGTATCTGCAGATGGCCCCGAACTGTAGGAATTCCAGTATCATGGGGTCATGGGGCACCTACCCGTTCACAGAGATATCTGCATCTGGGTATGTGTCAAGTTTCGAAATCAGTCGAGGCCTCTCAAGACTTGCACAGTTCTTCCTTTCATGAGAAGGTTTTCGGGGCCTACCAATGGGGGAAGAGGTTGGAGAAGTTGGACCCCTGAACCTGGCCCCTGTGGAACTTGTACGGATGACGTCTTGGCTCTACGAAGACTTCTGTAGCATGTGCACAAGTAGGTCTTGCAGCTGTCATCCTGCACTTCAAAGTTATCCACCTCTAACTGAGCCTGACTGTACCGTACCCCATTTTAGAAACCTCTATAATTAGGCACGTTGACGACAAATGAAGATGACATGCCGATGAAGTTGGGTCTCTGCATGCAAACTTTGTCTGTCAAGACAACAAGGAAATCCTACATCTTCATACCCTCAACCCTGAGCCCTTATGCCCTTAACCCTTGTCCAACAGCTTACAGCTTATGCCCTAAACTATCTCAAATCCCAAACCCTCTTGTGCCTTAGACCCAATTCAACCCGGCCCATCTGATTGGGCTAATGACTCATCCTCGGGGTTGCCCCTGGAATCTCCTTGACATCACAAGGGCTGCCTTCAAAGGGGTGATTATCCCTATCACATCGGTGCTTCTCAGCTATACCTTCAAACTCTATGCAACAAGACCCCATGAACGACCAGTCGCTGGGATTTTAGGGTTTCTTTTCCCGAGCGGCGACGGCACCACATGGAGGCAGCACCAGCTACGATTTCAGCGACTTGCATCGTTTCAAGATAGACAGGACAGCTTTCGCACAGCTCCTCAGAGTCTTCCTATGCTACCAAGCGTAGGTAGACACAGCCCTTTCCTCGTCATTCTAGCCCAGTACACACAGACAAGCAGCATTCTGCATTGTTTTGCCCGCAAGATTGACACCGAGGCCCCAAACCAGGATAAACTTCTGGTTTCCTTGGCAACGTCTCCTTTGAACCTCTTCGTGGGCTTAGGTCCGTTGGCTTGGCTTCACAGACTCTGAACCCTAAACCTTTGGAGTTGTTGTCGAAGATTTGAGAACTGACCGTGGCCTATTTCCAAAGCCAGGTACGGTAGAATATGCACGCTTGCTTGCATATGTCTCGGCTTTCCTTAGCAAAGACCCAGATCACAATGATCCATGAACCTCCACATGTGCGCTGCCCACTGCCTGGCTTGCCGAGGAGTTGGTTGTTGCACTGGAGCAATCAACATGCGTGACGCTGCATGCCTGCGAGCCACCAGTCTCAGATGGCTTATCTTGCGGTCTATAGGCGTTGATGCTTCCTTGTTCAGGTGTCGAAAAGCAAGACATCGATAAAAAGACAGGGTCATGCATGCAACCGTCGGCAAACAAAGCACATGACCGCGCAATGTGGAGGAGCTCGCTGACAATTCTTCCTGTCGAGGGTTTCAACGGATGCCACAAAGCTAGCTTTGAAGAAGTGGGCTATGCAGTGCATGCAAGTGTGCATTTGTCTTTAATGCTGCGTGGACCGTTTCGGTAGGCCCAGTCTGCTGTCGTTCTCAAAATTCTTCTGACTAATGTACGCTCCTGGAAATGAACGTCGAACTCCCAGATACCCCCCTTGAAAGATGCGCAGCAGTCTGTATGGGTAGGGATTTCGTAGAGGTTTCCTATTACTTTGTGGGAGGGTATATCCCGGGCAACTTCCATGTCCTCAACACAGCCAGCCACTGATGTGGACCCAAGGTGGGTGCATGTTGCCTGGGTTGAACACATTTTGCGCGGGGTTGATGACGAAGTACTTCAAGGGTCCCGGAAGTTAAGTAATTGATGGGATCTATCCCCTAGTCTTACTTGTAATAACCCCACCCAACCCTGACTACATAAATAGTTCCCTACCCACTAGCCAGCCCAGGGTCCACCAACAATAAGGCTGAAGCTCGTGGGCGCTGGAGCAGAGAGAGTCGCTCTTGCTCTGGCTTCCAACACTTGCTCCTGAGCTCATCACTATCTATGTGGTAGTATTTCAAAACAGGTTCCCCAAGACAGCAACGCTGCAGAAAGTTTACTTGTCAGGAGCACTCCATGTGCAGGCATGCACTTTGCAGTCTAATCTCGCTATCAGCGTGTGCATGGACACATGATTGTTTAACTGGCAGCCCCGAACTTGGGGCAAGGAGGTCCTCCAAATATGTATATATATATATCATATATATGATATCTAGATATATATATTTATACTGTGTGGTCCTCATTGCAGTGACTCCGAGTCTCCTGATTCTTGGAAACCCCCAGTACCCCCAGAGCCCAAACACAGTTGGGAGCCAGAGTTCTGTAGATGATTGAGTTGTTACCCATGTTCAGCTACTTGGCTGTACACCATACGCTCCACACCTCATCGTGTTCAGATAGACCTGTGCAGCTAGCACAAGCCCGACTGAGGTGTTCGCACACTTCGGATGAACGAGTGCGACATCGACGACAAGGCCCAGCCCAGCCCAGCCCAGCCCAGCCCATGCGAACTCAAGCTTTGTGGAACCCTAGGTGACTAAGGAGTTAGGATGAGTTAGGAAGCGTACTGTTCTGAAAATGGGTCACAGGTGATCGAGTTAAAGTGGGATTATGAAGCGGATGTAGCACATTGCCTGACGGCAGGGTCCCGCAACTACGCATTCAGTGATCGTTTCAGAGCCCCTCCCTTATCCATTATTCAGTCCTTTGCTGCCGAACCCTCAGGCTTGAGCTTTCCAAGCTGGGCTCAAGGCAGACTATTTCGTACTAATTGCTTCAAGCTGATGTTACCAGCCGTACATTTGTAACAGCTGAAGCTTCAGTGCTCCTAGCTTTTGATCCTTATAGCATCGCTCCTGTGGCAGCACAGCGATCGTAGCTGTGTGGCCACCTTGCAGGCTTTAACTGGCTTTCGTTCCCAAACTTTCAATAAAGGCCAGCCGGCCCCAGCCCTCCCCAGCCCTCGAACAACTTGTGTGCGTGACTTTTCACCAAATAGAGATTCCAAGCCATGGTTCAGTTGAGGGTTTCGGGTGGGAGCCTCTGACAGATGCCAAGTACGACAAAAAGTGGGTCCCTGAGAGGCCCCCTGTTTCAAACAGACCTCATGCTGCCTCACAGGTTGGGGGGCTTCTGGCAGAAGCGCTTCAGGAGAACCGGGAAGCATGGGGAGAGGGTTTTAGGAGGAGGGTTCCGGCTAAGGTTATTACTCTGCATGGAAAGTGGTATCCTGCATATTACCGTAGCTATCGCCACTCATGAAGTTCCAAGTAGGGTTTTACGATTCAGCGGTTGGGGCTTGTGTTCAGATCAAGGGCCGCATTAAAAAGCATGAGCATGCTGGTGTAGTTCCATAGATGTCAGAATATACTGAGCATACATCGCCAGAAGGAAAGGTACATGCGTGGATGCGTGCATGTGTTTGCGCATGTGTGTTTGTGCGTATGTCTCGCAGCGCACATGCGTCTGTGTTATGTATGTGTATGCACACCAGGGGGCCATTTGGCAATATTTTTGGGGCGACTTTGCCAGTTGGCCAGAGACGTACTTTGTGCAACAGTCGGGCACATATCACTGCTAGTTCAACTCCCAGAGAAGCCTTCAAGTCCAAACCCAAATCCCAAAGTCCTCGGTCAGGAAAATCGGGCGCTGAGGATCTTCTCGCTCAATCGAAACCGACTGGGGCCCGCAGGCCTTTTGAAGTTCGCCGAAGCTTTAAAGAAGATGCCTGGAGTTGACTTAACGGTGCTTAAGACGGAGTTGGGCAGGTAAGAATCAGGGTGTGCGTGTGGGACTATGAGCGGGTTTTTACAACGATCCACGCCCCACTTCCCCTTGGGGATGTAGGGTCGAGGCCTTAGAGCCTTAGAGTCTGAGAAATGGGTAGGTGCAACAGGCAGTTTGAGTATGTAAACAAATACAATGTCTTAGGGTATCTTAGGGTCAGGTGGTGGATGTAAAGCTTAAAGGCGAAGATGGTCGGGATGAAGTGGGATTCATAGTAGGGCTTTCTTCGAGGTGGGTGGGGCAGTCATGACGTACTTGTTACTTGTAGTAGTGGAAGTCCAATGACATACAGCCTAAGCCCGACGCCAACCCTAAACCATTATGGCGTGGAAGAAGTATGATCTGCTTTGTTGGACACATTTCTCCCTGCATTGGAAGAGTCAAGCGGGAGGAAAACAGTTATCTAGCTGCCACGTTGATAGTGGCCTAGTCACTGCAGTTCTGAAGCAGCGCAAAAAAACTGCTCTGGGAACGCCGGGTAGTTTTACCCATGCTTATCTGGGAATGGGAAAAAGATCCCGATAGTGTTCCCGAGCATCCTCCACAATGATTTCTCATGGTAAACCGTAAGCTCTGAGCCCCAACCCTTCTTCTGAACCCCAAGCAAGGAACACCAGCCTCACCAAACTCGACCTGAGCCAGAGCCTTGACGTTCCACCTTTGGAAATCTTTCCTTTTGCTTTTTAGGCTGGGCACATCACAACCACCTGATCCAACCTCACCTCAAACAGTGACTCATAGAGGTCGTCCCAAATTTGCCTGCGTTATTTTAGGTCTTCCGATGATTGTTACTGAAGCTTTGGCCTTATTTGTGGAGGCTCATGAGCAGTTATAATGTTTGGTTTTACGGGCAGCTTTTATTAAGTTGAGCTGGTGTTGAGCTGTATGAAAAAGGTGGTCTATAAGTACCCTAGTCAGGTTTGGCGCTGCTGCGTCAGAGGTATTTCATCCCTGTGAGGGCTTCAAAGAGTGGAGCTTTTGTTCAACCGCGGGGATATGTCTTGCACTCCCCCAAGGATTCTTTTAGCAAGTTTCTCGAAGCGATACAAAATCCTAAGCAAGGCGCGCATCCTCCCCTTCCATTACTATATGCTTGTGCATTTATTCGTTTTGTGTGAAAAAGCCAGGACCTCAAGTTGAGAAGCCTGTGTGTGCTTCAAAAACAGTACAAGATAGAGTGTCAAGGCTGGGAGTTAAGTGCTTTTGGCCATTTCAGGTGTAGGGATTGGCCCGGCTGCCTAAAATTTCAGTACTTCTGTCACCTCTAACGGCCGAATAGCCTTCAGCCACTAGCCGCTAAACCTGAAAGTCTCCAGCAATGTCTAGGGTTTTCCAGAAATTCGGGGTTACCTTTCTGCTAGAACAGTACAGTCCCCACCTGACCCTCTAGCCAAACCCCAAGTCTAAAAAACGCTCAGCCTGAGGAACCCCCTGGGCGATGCGGGAGCTGAGCACTTGGCTGAAGGGCTGCGACAGTCGCGGGCCTTGTCATGCCTGGACCTGCAGGCTGGAAGTTAAATCCTTTCCTTGATTACTATTACTATTACAATGAAGTTATTGGGTAGCTAATAATGGAAAAGAAAATGGAAACTACTATAATGGGGTTATATAGGGTTTAGGGTTTGGGGTTTAGGGTTTGGGTTTTCCTTGAAGGTTTCCTAAGCTCGTGTTCATGTAAATCCTTACGTGCAAGACGTAGCCCTTATTCCCAGGTAGAGTCCATTCCCCCCCCAAGCTACAAGGGCGCCCATTTAGCTACTACACTTCCCTTGCTATGAGACACGTAAGCAAAACACCTAAGAGTGTCTGAGTGAGGGCTGAACAGCGACAGCAAGTCAACAAAAACCCATCCTGCGTGCAAAAGGATGTATCATGAAGGTTTTGGATGTACCAACTTTCCCCGTACAACACAGCCCCACCTTCCTACAGCACGAATAATGTTTTGGAGGAAGGGCTTATGCAATAAGGCAGAGAGGTATCCGGGATTCCGTTGGGCTGTCTGAAATTGGGGTCCCTTTTCAAGAGGTTTGTGGAGAGTCCGATCCGGCTTGTCTCTTTTGTGCCCGGAGGACCGTGTACAAGGAATACTAGGATGGATGCAGGATCTCTCCTGCTACTTTTAACCCCCCAGAAAATTGTAGTTCCAAGGCTATAATGTGCATAGGTGGAAGCTTATCAGATATCTTCTCCACGTCACAGGTTTCTGAGAATCTCGTCCCCTGTTTAAAGGCACCCCCGCCCCTTGAATTTTCGACAGACTAGACTCTAATGCCCACGCACTGCAGGCCCCTTCCACATCTTTAGTATATGTATAATATATATATATATAACCGCATATAAATTCAACAAGACAAGACTCTCCCTAACTATATCCCTGAACCTTGAGCCGCAAAACTCCCATAGAACTCAAGAATCCCATCCAGGTGGCCCAGATCGGAGACGAGGGGGCTAAAGCCTTGGCATCTGCGCTGACCGAGGCGAAGCTGCGCGAGCTGCACCTGAGAGATAACCGGAGCTTTGGACCTTAGGGTGTAACGTGTTTGTTTTTTGGGGGGGGAATTGTAGGGCTCCTTTGTCTTTAGGGACTTGTAACTTGTAGTGTTTGGTTTTGTTCGTTGAAGGTTGGGTCAGGGATGAGGCTTTAGAGTTCGAAGGGTTGTCGCGGTTATAGGGGTTTGGGGCTACAGTAACGATTCAGGAAACCTATAAGGTTTAAAGCGGTTATTTAGCTTTTTGGGCCGATAGGCTTTAGGGGGCTTAAGGTTGCTGGGGTTCAATGGGTTTGCAGGGGCTACAAGGCCGAGGGCGTTCATAGTTTAGGTTCGAGGGTATGGGGTTTTGGGTTCGGGCTTGTAGGGTTTGGGGTTTGAGGGCTTAGGGTGGTAGGCTTTAGGTTTAGGGTGGGCCAGGGATTTAGACACTTCGGCCCTGCCTCTTATTGTGAGAAGCCCCACTTGTCGGGCTACTGAGGGTTTGGCAAACTGCTAATCTTGCCTAACTCCATACTTGCTCAGCCTGGATCCACTAGTGAGACTCAGTGCAAGTGGAACCACAACATAGGCACCGCAAGCAATGGAGCAAAAGCAGCACTGAGTGTTCAAGTCAGGGCTGTCATTGTGATGTTGATGATGGAGGCGATGCACATTTCTTACATACTCTTCGCCACATTCCTTTGGACTGCATGGAGATTCCCAGGATTGGTGACGTTGGTGCGAATCATCTGGCGAGCGCTCTGTTGCTGGGTCTTTGCAGGACAGTTTTGGGCCGCCCCAAACCCTCAGGACACGCATGGAAGTAGCACAGCGTCTTAAATCAAATCTCAACTACACGTCAGCTCCTCGGCCTCTGGTCCATCCTCTCGACCCAATTACAGGTGCAGCGGAGCGCACTCCTGCCCTGAAGAGTAGAAACGCAAGCCCCAATCTGAAGCCCGGAGCCCTGCACGAGCGTGAAGATGCCAAGCACTTGGCAGGCAAATTCTAGAGTTGCTGAGCTCAAAGCCCCTCGACATCCGCCTGGTCTAGCTCCATCGTAAGCTTCTGATCTCTGTCAAAGAGAACTTTCTAGGAGGTATCTGAATCTGTGGTTTCAGCACATGCTCAATGTTGCATGCTACAGTCACCGTGTGAACTATCCCGTAACAACTCGTCCGTAGCCCTGCCCTAAGCAGCTCCTAGCCTCTTCATGGTCACCTGCACCCCAATTAAACCTCAGGCACTAAACCTCGTCCCCAAGCCCTGAAGCCTCACTCACAAACCCTCAACCCGAGACCCTACACCGAAGTTCCTAGACCCTTCATTGAGCAGTATACCCTACATGATGCTAGGGCCCCTAATACGATCTAGCATATATTCCTGCTGAAAGGGTATTAAGCTCCTTGGATGCTGAGGCTCCAGAACTCTTCCTTGGCCCTCCTGGACCTTAGCTTCAACCGGCGCATCGGCGCCTCCGGCATGCAAAGCCTGACCCAGGCGGCGTGCTGGTTTAGGGACAACGGGTACTAGTAGTAGACATTATAGTGCCTATCTGAGCCGTTGTAGTATCAGGGGCCTCAGGTACTGTTGATGGAGGAAGTCTTGCCCCAGTAATGATTCCTGCATAACTGTGATCCACGAGATTTAGGGCAACAGTATGGCTAGGTGTGGGGATGGTCAATATTGAAGAGATCGAGACCTGTGTTTGAGTGTCAGTTTCAGGAGCCTTCGCCCAGGTTTGATTTTCAGGGCAGATCACTCCTTTGTTGGCATGTTCCGCAATACTAATCCCGTTTTTTCCGGAGCCTGCGGTTGGTGCTGCATTCTCCAAACAGCAAGTGAGCTCCCTTGCAGAATGTACCCCGAAATTTATCAATCTGATTATGAGTTTATATTTATAGATATACACACACATACAGACAGACAGACAGACAGACAGACAGACAGACTGAAAAAGTAACTGAGGTCTTCCACGTAGATACACACAAGGCACACCTAAGTGTTCCTAAGCTGCATCAACACAAGTCCTTTATGCCGCAGGCAAGATCAAGTCTTGAGCCAACATAAGTTGGCAGGTCATGA